CTCTAGAGCAGCGGTCGCCAACCTCTCGGACCTCTGCGGACCACTGGTTGGCGACTGCTGCTCTAGAGCCATGGCCCCCTGACTGGTTTCTTTCTCTCCACCCTAGACCACACCTTGTCACAACAGAATTGCAGGACAGAGGGGAAAAACCTGGACTCTAGAGCTAGATGCCTGGGTTCAAATTCTGGGTGTACCTCTTTGCCTCAGTTTCCCCATCAATAAGATGATAGTAATGAAACCTCTCTGGTAGTGCTGCTAGTTGATGTAAAGTACTTTAGGACGGTGCCTGATTCTCGGTACCTGCTCATTCATTGTTAGCCACTACTATTGTCTTCCAGAAGTCCATGCTTGTGTCATTTAAAAACCAAAGGCTGTGCTTGTTTTGAATGAAATATGATCATTACCAAATATGTAATTCGCAGTAGAAATGTAGTGCTGACACTGTAGTATTGTGTTAGCACAGTGACCAACCTGAAGGTCACAGATAACCACTCCAGCCTCAGTTGATGCTGAGAGGTCAAGGATAGTGAGGAAACAGAAATAACAGGAATAACTAGAACGTTAAAGTGCCTTATAAACTCACAGAGCACTTTCACATGCATCATCTCACCTGATCCTCACAACAGAGCTGTGAGGGAGGTGGAGCAGCTGTTATTAACCCCGGTTTACAGAGGAGGAAGTTGACTTGGAGGACTTAAGTGACTTGCTCACTTAAGGTCATGGATGTGGTCTGTAACTCTCGCCGCTTCATGACAGAGATGAACTGAGGAGGCGCAGGTGTAGATACCCAGGCCTGGGAGTGGAGTCTTTCCCCTGTGGTGTCCACATAGACTCGCCGGGACTCAGGAATGCCTTGATGGTGTTCCCCCGAATCTGTTCTTCACATAGCAGAGTGATCTCTTTGAAGTGTAATCACAGTTTGGCACACCCCGGCCTGAGCCCAGCATGACATTCTCCCTACCGAGGCCTGCAAGGCCAGGCATGATCTGGCGTCGCCTGCTCTTCAGCCTCAGCTCTGTTACTCACTCTAGAACACTATGTTCCAGCCCCACTGGCCTCCTTTCAAGTCAGGGAACAGGCCAAGCTCTTTCTTGCCCCCTGGGATGCTGTTCCTTTGCTTGGAACTTGTGCATGTGCATGCGCAGGTGCGTGCTTGCATACATGTGCTCACACACACATTTCTTACGGCTGACTCCTCCTTGTCCAGGGAGGCAGCTCCCAGAGAGAGCTCTGGAGCAGGCTGCTTGGGTCCCCGTGGCTTCCCCATTCCCTAGCTCTGTTTCCTTGGGCAGGTTACTGCACCTCTACCTCACCTGTAACCGAAGAATCGTCATCATAATAGTACCTGTCTCAGAGTTTTGGAGGACCATGTGGGTTAACTCATACAAAGCTCTTAGAAAACTGCCCTGTGCAAAGAAGTGCACACCCATGGTAACTGTTAACAAGATCATCAGCTTAAATCTCACCTCAGTCAGAGTGCCGTCCAACATTAGTTATTTCCTCAGTATTCTCTTCCTCAGAATCCTATTTTCACCATTGTGCACGTATCATTATGTAATTTTTTTTTTTTCAATTTCCCCCTCTAGCCTGTGACTCTACAGGCACAGGGGCTGTGTCTGTGTTTTCCACAGCTACCTCTCTGCTGCTTGGCATCTAGTGTTTCTAGAATGAATGCAGGGCACACCACAAGATTGCATAGAAATGCTACCAACGTTTTCTTACTGTAGTATGATGGTTTTATTTCACATTATAAAGTATTTCATCTGTATAGAAGTTAGTTTGAAGTGTGATTTGAGATATGAATGAAAACTAATTTTTTTCCCCAAATGAGTAGCCAATTGCAATTTTTGTGATTTCTTTTTTTAAAAAAATATGTATATATATTTTTATTGATTTCAGAGAAGAAGGGAGAGGGAGAGAGAGATAGAAACATCAGTGATGAGAGAGAATCATTGATCGGCTGCCTCCTGTATGTTCCCCACTGGGGATCGAGCCTGCAACCCGGGCATGTGCCCTGACGGGGAATCGAACAGTGATCTCCTCGTTCGTAGGTTGACACTCAACTACTGAGCCACACCGGCTGGGCTTTTGTAATTTCTCTTAAAGAAAGCTTCAATCTAAATTACAGTCCTTAGGAACTCTGATGTTTCTTTTGTTTGTTTTTTCTCTTCTTGAGTAAAAAGTAAATACAGAAACTGTTCATCCAGTTGAGTTGAATTTCTCGTGAGCGTGCTGGCCCTGTGCCAGGAAAGATGCTCCTGGGGTCACCTGCCACGGCCTGGCTTCCAAGAGGAGGACATAACGTTACCAGCATAGGGACTTGTTCCGTTTGCTCAACCGCTAGGTATTTTACACAAACTTGTTTTAGATATTCTGACTGTCCTTTTTTTAAAAAAAAAAAAAATATTTTATTGATTTTTTTACAGAGAGGAAGGGAGAGGGATAGGGAGTTAGAAACATCGATGAGAGAGAAATATCAATGAACTGCCTCCTGCACACCCCCAACTGGGGATGTGCCCGCAACCAAGATACATGCCCTTGACCAGAATTGAACCTGGGACCCTTCAGTCTGCAGGCCGATGCTCTATCCACTGAGCCAAAGCTGTTAGGGCTCTGACTGTCCTTTTAAAAACCCAATTGAAACCTAGAAACTTCACCATCCCGATGACTACGTTACTTTTCCTTAACTGTTTCCTGCACTTAGATGAGGGACAAAAATGCTTTGGCAGACCATGTATTGTAGTCTGTGGTTTGGAAAAGTTGCTCACCACTCTTTTTTTTTTGATTTCAGAGAGGAAGGGAGAGGGAGAGAGAGATACCAATGATGAGAGAGAATCATTGATTGGCTGCCTCCTGCACCCCCCGCTACTGGGGGTTGAGCCTGCAATCTGGGCATGTGCCCTTGACTGGGAATCGAACATGGGACCCTTCAGTCCACAGACGGATGCTCTAGCTACTGAGCCAAATCGGCTAGGGCTTTTCCATATTTTAACTTTTAAAATTAAAATTAATGACAGAAATAATCCGTCCCCATTGTCACATATTCAAGCCATAAAAGTTGTACACAGAAAAAATTTACTCTTCCCACTTTCTGGCCCACCCCCTTAAAATAACCACTGCTGAGTTTATTGTGTATTTTTTTAGACTTTTTTTTTATGCTTAGTAAATATACAAACTAGGGCAAAGGTAGGTTTACATTCGTGAGTACGTGAAACAGTTTATTGTATTATTATTTATTAATCGTATTATTTTCCATACAAACAACTATAAACCTACTTTTGCCCCACTCTTTATTAGATCTACACACACACACTTTTTTGGAACAATGTCATAAACCCACTTTCTTATACATGTCAATGGGCCTTAACAACACTTGCAGCCATTGTTCTCTGGCTGGCAGCGTCTTAGAGAAGTCACTAATGGATATTTTCCCAGGGCTTCAGCCACCAAGTCCTGCTTAGTGTGTTCGAAGCACTGGCTGTAATCTTCTGGAGGGCAGGGGCCTGGGCACAGTCAGGAATGCGGTGTCATCTGATCATGATTTCCCTCTCACTCCAGC